AAAGACCACACAGAGCCAGACAGTGGTGGTGCACACCTTGAATCTTAGCACTTGGAAGGCAGAGGCAAGAGGATATCTGAGTTCAAGCACAGCCTGGTCTACAGAGTGAATTCCAGGAATGCCAGGGCTACACAGAGAAACCCTATCTCAAAAAACATAAAACAAAAAACAAGACTACAGAATCCTATGGTAGTCCAGCTTCGACTGGAGAGCAGAGCTCTTGATATGTAGGCCATTACTTTTCCATAATTTTGAAATGCTATATCTATGGAATTAGGAAGTTTTCCCCAAGTATTATATGTAATGTTATACTAGGCGTGCCAAATACATTGCCTGCCGTGCACTGGTCGTATCTAAGAGATGTTCTGCTCACAGACTAACCCTGTGCCATCAACCTTGCCTCTGTCAGATACAGTTAACTGAACAATATTCTAAGGTGGTAAATCCATTGACAACCTATAGCTGAATGGGATTCAAACACCAAATAATGCAGTTTTATAAATCTAGCAAATGAAAATTATCTAACCTTTAAATTCTCCAAACCTCTATGTGTTTCTTTTCTTTTTTCATTTGTTTATTGTGGGGAGAGCATGTACCATAGTATATAAATGGGGCTCAGATACAACTTTTGGGAGTTAGTTCTTCCCTTAAACTGAACATTTCAGGGACTGAACTCAGGTCTTTAGATTTGGCAGCAAGCACCTTTGTGCTGACTATCCACTACCATCTTAGTGGCCCTATTGTCTGTGCTCACTAACCATTCAAGTAGTGTTTGTAATGTAGGCCTCTTATACCTTTCCATAAAATCTGTAACCAAGAGTTGATATTTCTCATTGAAAATATGAGACTAAATACAACTTATATCCCAGGATAAAATATATCCTTTCATTTAATATTATTGCTTTTGTCTTTCATTTTATTAAAATACATCTAGTCAGGTTTGTGGTGGCATGTGTCTGTGTGTTCCTAGCACTTTGAAGATTCAGACAGAAGGGCTGTAACTTTGCTTTTTGAGGTTTGAAGAGTTGTTTTATGTGTGTGACTGATTTATTTATGTGTATGACTGCTCTGTCTGCAAGTATGTATTCAAACCATATGCATGCCTGGGGCCCACAGATGTCAGGAGAGTCTCAGATTCCATGGAAAGAAAAATGTTACCTTGTGCTCCACCGTTCTGCCACGTTATGTTTTACTGAACCTTTACAAGCCAACTGCCATCCAGCTCCAGTGGATCCTCTTGCTCACAATTTCACTTGGGAAGACCAAGTCCCCAAGTCTGCATCATGCACAGAAGTCATGTGCAGTTTCTGGGACACATTGGTTTATTTTCTGTATGATTTTATTGAGTTGGCATAGGGAGAATTCTCCCCTGAGCAATAAAGAGTACATTCTCACTGAACTTTTCTCCAATTCACACACTAACTGGACTTGAATTTTCTGAAAACTTTTCAGTTGAGAAACTGGAACAACAATTAGGATTGCTTCCCAAGCACCACCACGGTCAATTTCTTTAGCCACCTTGATTTTGAGCTCACAAAGGTCTGATTTCTTCTCTGGCTCCAGTAGTGCCTGAGAGTTCCCCAATTTGAGCTTCTGGGTTTCACAGTCTTGACACTTTAAATGTTATAGCTTCGTGTTGAAGGAAAATGTTGCTGGAGGTAAATGAGGACCCTGATCCATTCCACCTGAGCTATCTGCAAGGTCAGAACAGATAATCTGCTGCATCCCTTCTTTGGAGGAGCAGGGCCTGCTGCAGCTCATGGGGGCCACACCTAAACTCAACAGAAAATGGTTAATCTTAAGTACACCTTTGCCTGGGCTAAAAGATGCTCAGACCAAGGAGTGATATAGCACAGGCCTTTGACCTCAAATAGTCTGGAAACAGAGGCAAGCGGGTCTCTGTAAGGTGAAGGCCACCCTGGACTACATAGCAAATTTCAGAACAGCCAGGGCTGCATCTAAAAGCAACAACAAAAAGACGGCCAGATAGCTGATAAGACATTATTTTTGGGTGTGCCAGAGTGTTTCTGAAAGATCTTACATTTGCTTGATAAATCAAGGTCAGCATGAGAAACGTGAGTAGGCAACATCGAATCCATCCTTTGATGGCCTAGATACTACAGACAAGCATACAAACGCAGCCTTCCTTCTTGTTAAGCTGGGCCATATACATTCTGCCTTTAGACTAGTGGTTCTGATCATGGGATCTCCAAACACAGACTATGATTAACAACATTAACTTCTCTCATTTTTTTTAAACCTTTGACTTTGTACTGAGATTACCATCTTGTTTCCCCTGTTTCCATCTTGAAGGCCACAGATCATGAGACATCTTTCATGATCACTTGAAGCAATCTTTCACAATACGTCTGTGTTCCGTGCATGTGCACACACGTGAGTGTGCATATTCTATTAGCTCTGTTTCTCTAGAGATACTAATAAAACAAGCATTCTAGAATCATCTTAATTTACATTGGTTCTGTTTTCTGAGGGCTGGACTTGGGGACCAGTCCTTGTTTCTAGATGCAGCCCTGGCTGTTCTGAAATTTGCTATGTAGACCAGGGTGGCCTGCACCTTACAGAGACCCTCTTGCCTCTGTTTCCAGACTTTTGGGATCAAAGGCCTGTGCTATATCACTCCTTGGTTTGAGCATCTTTTAGCCCAGTCAAGTGGGCTTAAGATTAATCACTGACATTTTGTGTTGAGGGACAAGGGAAGGCTCTCCCACTGAGCTACTTCAGCATTTACCTTCCTAATTCTGATGAGATACATTTTCTAGTTGCTTTTGAGAAATGTATGGAAAATAATTTTTTAAAGAATTATATGTTTAGTATGAAATTGTGGTGCTAGGTATTAAAACCAAAGATGTCAGACATGCTAGACAAATGTTCAACCACTGAACTTTACCCATAGTCCTAAAACAACTTTTAGTATGATTTCACTTCTGTTTTTTTTTTTTTTTGGCTTTTTTTTTCTGGTTTTTCGAGACAGGGTTTCTCTGTGTAGCCCTGGCTGTCCTGGAACTCACTCTGTAGACCAGGCTGGCCTCGAACTCAGAAATCCACCTGCCTCTGCCTCCCAAGTGCTGGGATTAAAGGCGTGCGCCACCACTGCCCAGCCAATGATTTCACTTCTGATAATTTCATCAGCTTAATAAGTTGGCTCCTTCCCTTAAAAAACAAAAAACAAAAAAACAAAACAAACAAACAAAAAACACACATGTACCTGAGACTCACAACATAGTGGCAGTAGCACACTGCTTATGTAACTTAGGCTGAGGTCACATTGGATTACAGTAGGCCCCTGGTCCAATAGGACTGCTCTCCTAAGAAAAAGCTCAGATGAAAATAATAGCGAGAATGTCATGTGACTATGAAAACAAAGACTGAATAACTCAAGTCAGTAATAACAGGGACTTCCAGGAAACTGCTAGAAAGCCAGGAAGAGACAAGAAAGGATTCCTACAGATTAGGAACAACATAGTACCTTCATTCCTGACTTCTAGCTTTCAGAAATGTGAGACAAATATCCCACATGTTTCTGCTTGTTATACCTTGGTATGGAAGCTCTAGAAAACAAGAAGAGCATTCTGGTTTGAGAATTCATTTTCCATTAAAAGCTTTACAGCTTACAGAGTCCTTCTACTTGTGTTAATGAAAAGAAATTGCATCCTGTTTTGATTCCTAGTCCTTAGAAGGTGATTGTTTATTCTCTGGAAACCTTTATGGTCTTCTACTTAAGCCTGGAATTCTGGGATTTTATGATGATTATGTGTTCACCATCAAAGACATGGAAAAAGAGCAGAGGATAGGAGCTGTGGTATAGTAGAAGATTTGTTTAGCTTGTACAAGTCTGCAGGTCTGGTTCTATGGGAAACTAATGGGTAACCCCAGCTCATAAGAAGTTTCTGTCAGCAAAGACAACCTATATCATTTGTATGGAGCCCAAGGAACCTTGAAGACTACTGCCCTGTGGGGGAATTCAATTAGCTATACCTACTAATACCATAGAAAACTGCAGTTCAGTGGAAAGAGTGGATCAAACACAGCCAGTTATTAAAACAAACCTGTCGCGGAGGTGTTAAGAGCTTAACACAGGGTACGGTCTTTGCTATCCAAATCCAAGTTTCAAAGAAATTATTTAAATTAGTGACTAAAAAGATTTGGGTCCACAGAGTTTTCAAGAGTGGCCCTATGAGGATCTGGAGATGATACTGCTGTTAGGGGTACTGGCTCCTCTTCCAGGGGACCTGGGGTTAGATTCCCAACACCCACAGGGCAGTTCACAACCATCTGTAACTCCAGTTCCAGGGGAATCGGTGCCCTCTTGTGGCCTCTACGGGTACCAGGCATGTAAATAGTGCAGATATACCTGAGGGCAAAACACCCATACATATAAAAATTCTTAAAAATTACAAAATGTACATATAAAACAAAATCTATGCGTCGTACTTCATTCACAAACTGATTTTGAATTGGCTAATTGAAAGCGATACTTAGTGCTGTTTCAAAGCATCTTCTCTTCTTCTATTTTCCACCTTTCTGCTCAAATAGATTTTCGGGGAAAATTCGAGTTGTAGATTTTTAAAATTATATCAAGCTAGGATATTAAGAATTTATAAGAGCCTCGGACATGGGGAAACCAGCCTAGACGGTCGATGTGCAAATCCAAGGTCAGAGCTGCCGTCGGACAAGTAAGGCCTGGAACTAACGACATGACTTCCCCGAGGCAGGGGACAGTCGGGACATCGGCTCTTTTCAACCTCAGGTTGTTGAAAGTGGACGAGCACAGAGACACGAAAGGTGACCACCCCTCGGCCAC